TGTATTTACACATAATACTCTAACACTATTAACAATTTACATATACTATCATAATACTCTTACCACTCTCCCTCAAGCTGGACTATATATATATTATATAATTCAAGTTTGGAACAAATCTTTATAAGACATGTACGACACAATACTTTGGTAAACATATCTGCAAGTTGATCTTCAGATTTGACAGCTACTATCTTTGTCCTGAATAAAGTGATAATCAACCTTAATATGTTTGGTTCTCTCGTGAAACACTGGATTGACAGCGATATAGATAGTTGTCTGATTATCACAGAACAATTGTAAAGGGGGTTGCACTGAAAACTCAATTTCCTGAAGAAAGTGTAGCAGTCACGTCAACTCACTCGTCATATGCGTCATTGCCCTATACTCAGCCTCAGCACTAGATCTTACTACCACAGATTGTTTCTTACTTTTTCATGAGACAACGTTACCACCTAAGAAAATACAATAACCAGTGGTTAATCTCCGATCAGAAAGAGAGCCCGCGCCAATCAGAATCTGAGAAACCTTCCACTCTAAGATGTCCATTAACTCAATATAACAGTCCAAGTTCAGAAGCTCATTTAAGATATCGTAGAATATGAGTGACTGTCTCTCAATGTGGTAATTTAAGACACCCCATGAACTGACTTACTACATACGAAATTTTTGATCGAGTAATAGTGAAATAATTAAGCTTTCCAACCAATCTGTGATACCGACCCGGATTCTCAAACAGTGTACCATCATCCATCAATAGTTTCTGATTCAGATTCATATGAACATCAATCGGTCTGCCCCCCAACAAACCTACTTCATTTAACATGTCAAGTATATATTTTCTCTGTGATAACACAAATACCCTGNGGATTCATATGAATATCAATCGGTCTGCCCCCCAACAAACCTACTTCATTTAGCATGTCAAGTATATATTTCCTCTGTGATAAACAAATACCCTGTTTAGATTGAGACACTTTAATTCTCAAGAAATACTTGAGTTTTTCCAAATATTTAGTATGAAATTGATCTTACAAGAAGATTTTTAACTTGGCAATTCCCTCAGAATCAGTTTCAATAATCATAATATCATCTATATAAACCACCAATAAAACATATCCAACATTCGTCTGTCTATGAAACACAAAATGGTCTATTTGACATCGAAGGAGACCAAACTCTAAAACAGCATCTGAAAACTTATCAAACCATGCCCTCATTCAAAATTCAAAAAGATTACATAGATTTTTTGAACATGTACACATGAAGTTACACAACAAAAAAGATCTTCTAGGTACTTCAGGAGGATGGAGGTTGAGAAGTGCTCGGTAGAGCATGTTTAGAAAAGAGCTTAGAGGAAGAAGGAACCCCCACTGCAACCAAAACAACATGCCAACCCTTGATGAAAAAAGCATTCTAGAGCTGAGGGATCTGTAAGGCAAGATCATTCTCCACTTTCTCGATCCCCTCATCATATGCAGAGTCTTCTTTCTCCTTTGCCTCGGCTTTGAATTGATCAAACTCCTCCAAAAGACTTGTATAGTCCAGTTGAGACTTAGAAAGCTCCACAATGGCCTCATGTTTGGAATCTTTTAACTTTTCAATCTTCGCTTGAAGCTTTTCATTCTCCTCAGTTAAGTTTTGGTTTTGAGCTCGGAGAACGCTAACTTCTTCGCAGATCTTGGAATATTCTTCGTCCATTGACTCCTTTTTGACCAAGGCTGAAGCTTGGGCGTGGATAACACCTTTCATAGCCTTATCTTTTTTGACTATCCTTGCCCCGACCTCATGCACTTTTTGCAGACCCTTGATTGAAAAAATTAGACTTAGAAAAATCTTGAGGGAAAGAAGGAAAGACTAAAGGAACGAGCCTTACCAAGACTATATGCTGAATCGCTTAACGGGACACTTCATCGTCAGTTAAAGCCTCATTCATAGCTAAGTCTTGAGGCAAAATCACCCCCGAGCAATCCCCACCGCAACATTGAAGTCTTCAATTGCGGAATTTTTTGCAATGATTTCTCTCCTCTTTGACCTAAGGACAGGTCAGAAATGAGGATTAACGGGTTTGGGAGAGAGGCTTGCCTCGAATTCGACAACCCTTTGCCTTTTTGGGGCAGGATCTTTGGCAAGTTCAAAAATTGAATCATCATGAAAAACGGGAGAATGAACTGAGTCTGGAGGATCTAACTCAACTAGAATTGAAGTCTCAAAAGTCTGAACCATGTCTGCTTGTCTCNCATGAAAAACGGGAGAATGAACTGAGTCTGGAGGATCTAACTCAACTAGAATTGAAGTCTCAAAAGTCTGAACCATGTCTGTTTGTCTTTCGATGGGCAAATCTGCATCATTTTGAAGATCAAGTTTGGCAGGAACCTCGACAGTAGGTTCATCATCAACAAGGATAGGGGGCGCAGAAGTTGTTGGAATCATTTCGGAGGATGGGATCGGCTCAACAATTGATAAAAATTCTAAAAAATTCTTCACCATTCTGCGTCCAGAGGCAGCAAGAGAAGACTTATTCTTGGCTCGGGGAGTCTGTTTTTGAGCAGCCTGAATTACTTCTCGGTCAGCGGCCAGAGTGGTGTTGGGTCGGTTCGGTACAGCAATGAAATATGTGTAGAATTGTGTGTAGCCAAGCAATGTATGAGCAGCTTGGCAGAACAATGTTTCATTAAAGTCCCAAACTTTCTTGAGTTCGTCAATCTTCACAGAAGACTCAGGAACTCGGCCCTTCACAGTCTCTCCTACAAGCGGAAGTCCTGAATCAGAAAAAAGAGAACAAATTTGGAAGAGTAAAAGACTCAAATACCTAGAGCACCTTCCTCGTAAGGATAACGATAAGAAAGAGTAGCACCAACAGCGTATTGCTAATTGCCTGAGTCAAAAACCACATCATTCTCATGACCCTTGTTCGAGTCTGGAAGATAGGTTACCAGGTATCTTTCCTTCTTCCTCACCACCAGGTAGTAGTTGTCTCCAGCAGGCTTGATTATATAATAGTATAGTATTTTCCATAATCTCAAGCTCAAGTTCAGAAGCTTGTTTAAAGCTACTACACCCATTATTATTCTAAAAAAATTGGGGCAGCACTAGATTGGGCATAACTTCATGGCTNCCTCCTATGCCGTTTTTAAGTAGGATCACCATCTAATAGGCTGACTTCCTTGAGCATTCAATCCCGTAAATCATTTACTACATTAAACGAGAGTTGGAATTCTGGTGCTCATGGCATGGGNCTCATAATCTCAAGTTCAAGTTCAGAAGCTTGTTTAAAGCTGCTACGCCCATTATTATTCTAAAAAAATTGGGGCAGCACTAGATTGGGCATAACTTCATGGCTGACAGGACCCAAAGAAGTAATGGGTCAAAAGGGAAGCGGACACAACCTTCGCTGATCGCTCTAGTGTAGATTAGAATCCTCTTTCTTGACCCAATCAGAGGTTTGTCTTTTCTAGCAACCTTTACCTCAACGTCGTCTGGAATGTTGTACTTAGCCTTGAAAGTAGAAATCTCAGAGGAAGTGAGAGGAGCCATTGAGGAAGATGAGCGCAGAAAGAAGAAAGGTGGTGCAGATATGAACAAAGAGATGAATCTGAAGCTGAGAAGGTAAAGTGATAGAAAAGCGAAGAGGAATCGTTTATAAAGAAAGAGAATGTTAAAAGGCAATATTTAAATACAGAGTAAGCCGCCAAAACAAAAGGGGATGTCACGAAGCACACGCAATGATGATGAGGAGATATAAAATGGCTGACAGACGAAAAGGCATCTGTCAGACATTTTCTGAGGCCAAATGAAGGGAGGCTCCTCTCATGATTACATGCGTTGTAGCATTAAATGAGCTCACGTGAGGTCGAAAAGACAAGACACGTGATGAGGATATCAACTGCTCGGTCAAATGGTCCTAGCCGAACTAACCAATATGGTTCGCCAAAACAATCAAAGAACTCGGCTTTTACCAAACTGAGTTGATCAATGTCTTCAGCAAGTATCAAAAGTGCTTGGCTCTCATTATGATCGAGCTGTTCAAAACAGTAGATAGAGATGAAAATAAGCCTTTAACTTAGGCATTTTGAATAAACAAATTAATAAAATTGCAGATGTCAAGAGGAATTGTTGGAGAAATATCAGTAACTTCACAAATTGAATCTCTGAATTGAAGGAAGGTGTGCCACCTAGAATAAAAAATCACGAAAACTCTAATGGGATAACTACCTATAAAAAGCAAAAGAAATCGAGGTGAAAGGCATGCTGAACTCTCCTTTTTCTTNCACCTGTAAAAAGCAAAAGAAATCGAGGTGAAAGGCATGTTGAACTCTCCTTTTTCTTCTAACAATTCTTTAAAAATCATTACTGACTTAAACGTTGAAATGTCTTTGATCGAAACACTTCGATTTTAAGTAATTTCGTTGTTTTACGGAGAAAACATTAGGAGATCAAGTTCAGGACATTTCTTACCAGAAAGATTGTATCAAATTTCTTATGAGGGGTATCTATAATTTTTTGACTCTTAGGCAAACCAAAAAAGAAACAATGGCGGCTAGATTGCCGTCGTGAGAGACCAAGTTCTGGAGGTGTATAAAAGACCAAGTTCCACCAAACTGTAAGCTGATGGGACTTTTCTGAAATACCCTATGATGAAGACACGTGTCCTCGGTTCCACTAAGCACTGTTGCTAGGATCAAGCACCATCGGCGCACGAATGTCCTCGCCCCCGAGGTACCGTCATATAGGATCATAGATTCAATATGTTTTACAACCGACACATGTTATCGGCCAGATATGTACCTCGGTCGGCAACCTCCCTCGGTCCCCGAGATGAGCCTTTCCTCGGTGCCGAGAGATACCCTCCTGGACACTTCCTCTACTCCAGGATAAGCTATTGACGTGCGGGTCATTAGCCTAGGCTAGCCTAGGATATTCATCATGACCTCGTCTTACACAAGTAATGTCAGANTTAAGTGCACGCGTAAGAACTCCAGAAACATGATCTATTTGTGTTACTCACCAGAGGGCATGATTATGTATATTTGAGCACCTGCTTTAAGTATGTCTTCTTGGCTCTTTGGAGAGTAGGAGTTTTCCAAAGCTCTTGATTTCAGTGTTGCAGCTCCTCTTAAACCTGGTAAGTAGAGCTTATCAAGCTTTTCAGAAATTCTTAAAAGAAACTGTAAGTCCTGAAATCTGGTGAGATCAAATTATAAAACAATCAAAATAGGCATTAAGGAAAGTATGTCTTAAGTATTACATGTTGCTGCAGTTGCTGTAAGAGTGATCATGTCTATGGGCGTTTGGATGGCCAGGCCCGAGTTGACAGCACATGCAACTTGGGATCTCTGCGCTCCCAGATATTCTGCAGCTTCAGCACATACCGTAGTCATTAAAGCTGCAGCCGAGGCAACTACAACACCCTTTTCCTGGTTCCAAGATCCAGTTCCTCCATGATCAGTGTGATTGATATTGTACAGTTCTGTGCTCCCATTGGTAGCAAAGCCAGCAATTGCTGCAGCTAGCTGTGTGAGAGAAAGAGCAGCATGTAACTTGGCTGTATGGAATCGAACTTCCTCTCTTCTCTTTTCTTTATGCGATCTTATGAAGCTAGTTAATGGTTTGCCTTTTACCCATCCCACCATGTGTTTGAAATCCATCTGAGAAAGCAAAGTGAGTTAAAATTAAACATTTGTAGCATTTAAAAATGAAGGAAACTACTGTAATTGCTTGCTTGATGCAAAACTAGCATGAGTAATGCTGATGGGACTTTTCTGAAATACCCTATGATGAAGACACGTGTCCTCGGTTCCACTAAGCACTGTTGCTNATACCTTGCAGGCTGTTCCAAGCAGCGCGCCTGGTCACTCAATCGGCCCACCCGAAGTTCACCAAGGGAGAGATCTGTTCTCGTTCTTTATATTGTGCAGGATTTTTCACGCACAATCTGGCACCGTCTGTGGAAAACGACTAATTNCTCCCCCGAGGTACCGTCATATAGGATCATAGATTCAGTATGTTTTACAACCGACACGTGTTCTCGGTCATATATGTACCTCGGTCGGCAACCTCCCTTGGTCCCCGAGATGAGCTTTTCCTCGGTGCCGAGAGATACCCTCCTGGACACTTCCTCTACTCCAGGATAAGCTANTTTTCACGCACAATCTGGCACCGTCTGTGGAAAACGACTAATTTACCTAGTCTTTTCTCTCTAAAGAACAGTGACCATGGTGAACACTCGACAGAAAGGGAAAGGACCCCACCAAAGGAGTCTTGAGTTACAAGCTCCCTGTCATCACGGAGGGAGGGATCANTATTCATCATGACCTCGTCTTACACAAGTAATGTCAGACCGTACTGGAATACAGAGGTAACAGCCAATAGGGATGGACGCGTGGCATATGATATCACATCAGAGACAGACAAACCGCATGCCGTTNTTCTACTCGGTCAAGGGGAATTAGCCCTCAGACCAGTGTGGGGATTAGGTCAGGGGGATCAGCCCCCTTGGCTTGTCAGCTGGCGGAGGTGATTGAAGAAAAATTTGGCGATAGATTACGCTAGCTGGAGAAGGACAATGTAAACGTTCTTAGCCGGCTTGACGAGTTTGCCGCCTCAGGCGGAGGGTCGAGGGATTCATTCCTTTCCCGTGGACTTCCAGCCCAGGAGGCGAGAACGAAGGATCTAAAAAATCACCTAGACCACAAAGCAGAAAGCTCTAGGGCCCCAAAGCGACCCAGAGCCGGCGCACATCATCATGACGACCAGTCCAGGAAAGCAAGGCCATTGGCCCTGGACGACCTCCGACGAAGTTTGTCCAGACGGAGGAAGGGAGATGAATCCGAGGAGGACTCAATCCAATCAACACGACGCCCGGGAAATGAGGGGCTTACCAATGAACTCAGGNTCATTGGCCCTGGACGACCTCCGACGAGTTTGTCCAGACGGAGGAAGGGAGATGAATCCGAGGAGGACTCAACCCAATTCACGCGACGCCCGGGAAATGAGGGGCTTACCAATGAACTGAGGGATTTCAGAAGGCATCCCATCAGGGAAGAAGTTGATCTCAGAGCCCGATTAGACTCCAGGAGAAAGGGTAAGACNATGAGCTTTTAAGGTATAAATACTCCTTGCAAAAGGCAGAGCTGGTATGCAACAACAAACTCTCTACTACAATACACACTACACACCCAGTGTTTTCTCTATCCTCTCTCTCTTTCTCAAAGACTGACTAGATCGTCGGAGGGGATACGCCGGAAAACACTCCGGCGCCCTTCTAACTTGTTCTTCTTTGTTCCAGGAATCTCTTTCAGCCTTACAGGAGCGTTCTTCCTTTCCCAGGATCTCCCGTTGCCGTTCCGGGTCACTACCGTACCTTGCAGGCTGTTCCAAGCAGCGCGCCTGGTTATTCAACCAGCCCACCCGAAGTTCACCAAGGGAGAGATATGTTCTCGTTCTTTATATTGTGCAGGATCTTGCACGCACAATCTGGCGCCGTCTGTGNTAAGCCCTCCAATCCAAGAGAAAGGAGAAGGAGCGCGAAGATATTCTCCGAAAGGGATTGCTACCCCGTTCAGGGGGTTCGTCCAGAGGAGTTCACACTGTCTTCAAGGAACCCATCTTCAGNGAAGTTCACCAAGGGAGAGATATGTTCTCGTTCTTTATATTGTGCAGGATCTTGCACGCACAATCTGGCGCCGTCTGTGGGAAACGACTAATTTACCTAGTCTTTTCTCTCTAAAGAACAGTGACCATGGTGAACACTCGACAGAAAGGGAAAGGACCCCACCAAAGGAGTCTCGAGTTACAAGCTCCCTGTCATCACGGAGGGAGGGATCACACCAACACGAATAAAAGTGCCTCTACTCGGTCAAGGGGAATTACCCCTCAGACCAGTATGGGGATCAGGTCAGGGGGATCAGCCCCCTTGGCTCGTTAGCTGGCGGAGGTGATTGAAGAAAAATTTGGCGATAGATTACGCCAGCTAGAGAAGGACAATGTAAACGTTCTTAGCCGGCTCGACGAGTTTGCCGCCTCAGGCGGAGGGTCGAGGGATTCATTCCTTTCCCGTGGACTTCCCGCCCAGGAGGCGGAAACGAAGGATCTAAGAAACCACCTAGACCACAAAGCAGAAAGCTCTAGGGCCCCAAAGCGACCCAGAGCCGGCGAACATCATCATGACAACCATTCCAGGAAAGCAAGGCCATTGGCCCTGGACGACCTCCGGCGAGGTTTGTCTAGACGGAGGAAGGGAGATGAATCCGAGGAGGACTCAACCCAATCCACACGACGCCCAGGAAATGAGGGGCTTACCGATGAACTCAAGGACTTCAGAAGGCATCCCGTCAGGGAAGAAATTGATCTCAGAGCCCGGTTAGACTCCAGGAGAAAGGGTAAGGCTGTCCAGGATGAGGCCGAGGACGAAGTCATACAAACACCCTTTACGAGGGAGATCGGTGAGATGGAGGTTTCAAGAAAGTTTATCGTGCCGCGGTTCAAAACTTATGACGGGCGGTCTGATCCCGAAGCCCATGTCAGGCAATACAAGCAGATGATGTCCCTCTATCATTCGGACCAACGGTTTCTCTGCCGAGTGTTTCCTATGAGCTTGGGGGACTCTGCGATGAAGTGGTTCGAGACGCTTCCCCCCAACAGTATTGGGTCATGGAAGGAATTGACGAAGCAGTTCCTGGCTCGATTCATTACGGGGAGTAAGCGCCCCAAAGACATTGGATCATTGCTGACCCTCAGACGGAGGGAATCCGAGACTCTTCGCCAGTACGCCATCCGATACTGGGAAAAGGTCAATGAGGTAGAAGGCTGCTCGGAGGGCATGGCAGCGGCATCTTTTCGGCTCGGCTTGGCGAGGGACACGGACCTATATCGATCCCTGACCAAGAAGACTCCCTCGGATATGGGGGAACTGATGGCCCGGATCAACAAGTACTCGAGAGTTGAGAACGAGATGGGAAGCAACAAAAACCGAACCCTCCAATCCAAGAGAAAGGAGAAGGAGCGCGAAGATATTCCCCGAAAGGGATTGCTACCCCGTTCAGGGGGTTCGTCCAGAGGAGTTCACACTGTCTTCAAGGAACCCATCTTCAGGTTGCTCCATAAAATCAAGCACGAGCCGTTCTTCAAATGGCCGCCCAGGATGCAGGGCGACCCCTCCACCCGTGATCAAAAGGTTAGGTGTTCATATCACCGGGATGTCGGGCATCGCACCGAAAGCTGCAGGGTGTTCAAGTCGTTCTTGGAAAGTTTGGTCCGAGACGGGCATTTGAAAGAGTACATAGAGCCCAGGCTAGAAGAGAGACGAGTCCTTGCCCCGACCGAGGAACCGGACAACGTCATAGACGTCATCCATGTATGTCCCTGGATCGCCCCACGTCCAGGGAACTCGAGTCCGACCTCAAGAGAGTAGCCTTTACGAGGAAGGTAGCCGAGGGTGATGTAGGGCCATCGAGTAAAAGGGCCAGGACGGGTGAGCTTGCCATTACATTCTCCGACGCGGATTTGACAGGCGTAGTGACCCCCCATAACGATGCCCTTGTCTTGACCCTGAAAATAGGAAAATTCGATGTCAAAAGAATTTTGATAGACTCTGGAAGCTCGTCGGAGGTGATGTACTTCGAGACTTTGAAACGGATGGGCTTTGGCCCCAAAGACCTAACCAAAATCAGGACACCCCTCATCGGGTTCAACGACTCTTTCGCCTTGCCCGTGGGGAAAATCACATTGCCGGTTGCCACTGGTCCCTTTATCATCGACACAGAGTTTGTTGTGATCGATACGGACTCTCCCTACAACGTGATTATGGGGCGAACATGGCTGCATGCGTTGGGTGCGGTGCATTCCACCTTCCATCAGAAATTAAAGTTCGCCACGCCAAAAGGTGTCATGGAGATCCGGGGGGACCAAGCGTCCGCGAAAAACTGTTTTTATTCAGCCGTTCGAGCCGGGGCATCCAGCCAGGAGAAAGGGCGAGCGCCGGAAGAGATTATGGAAAAATAGCAATTACAGTCCGGGCGTCCGGGAATGGATGACCCCCGGATAGACCCAACNCTCGAGAGTTGAGAACGAGATGGGAAGCAACAAAAACCGAACCCTCCAATCCAAGAGAAAGGAGAAGGAGCGCGAAGATATTCCCCGAAAGGGATTGCTACCCCGTTCAGGGGGTTCGNATAGAAGACCTCCGGAAGGTGCCCTTGGTAGAAGGAGAAGAAGAGAGGTATTTCCTAGTTGGGACCTCGATGCTCGCAGCCGAGCAGGAGGAGATGATCGAGTTCCTAAGGGGAAATACAGACGTGTTCGCCTGGAACGAAATGGAAATGACAGGGATAGACTCTGAGATNTAGAAGAGAGACGAGTCCTTGCCCCGACCGAGGAACCGGACAACGTCATAGACGTCATCCATGTATGTCCCTGGATCGCCCCACGTCCAGGGAACTCGAGTCCGACCTCAAGAGAGTAGCCTTTANTCTGAGATAATCACTCACAGGCTGCATGTTGACCTGTCGCACAAGCCGGTCAAACAGAGACCACGACGCATGGCCCCACATCACACCCGCGCGGTCAACGAGGAAATCGACAAGCTCCTGAAGGCCGACGCAATTCGAGAGATACAGTTCCCTGAATGACTATCTAATACGGTGTGTGC